ATCCCTACACATTGCACTGACACCCTGGACGCAGATACCCTGGATGAGGAGACCTTTAAAAATGCCTTGAGTATCGTAAAGGTGAGCTTTGATTGAATTGCCTGGGCAGGCCGCGGCCTCCAGCGGTGGCAGGCGGGAGAGCGGCCACTGTCGCCGCTGAGGCGCGCCGCACCGCGGCTGCCCCCTGTGTCTGTCCTGCAGCTCCTCGCCGCTGCGCTGAGTGCCGTGCACGCGCGGCCCGTTACACGGCTTTCCGCTCCTCGGTGAGTCCCGAAGGAGCCTGTGAGGTGGTCGGCTTCCTTTAGATAAGGCTTTGCTCCACCCTCCTCATTCACGCGTTAAATTCACTTCGGACATGGGGCGCATTTTGAAATTCACAGGCTTTGGGGAGAAACCCGAAGCCTCTTATCGCTCTAATCTCGACTAACGCATTTTTGTTACCACCGAGGCTTTGCGCTGAAGTAGTGGAGTTTAGTGCCTGGAAATACTTGAACCTCGCACTGTGAATAACCAAGTACGAGAACATTTCTAACTGCAGCGAAGACGAGAGGGCGAGGAAAACGGTTCCGGGTTGTCACTCACGGAAAACCGCCTCTGCCGCAGCTGCGGTCGACAGAGGGTGTCGCTGCCCTCGCCGTTGCCGTTGCTGAAGCGGCTTTGCCTCACCCGCTCCAGGCCGGTAGCAGTCGCTGCCGCCTTTGATTTCAATTAGTGAATGTTTACAGCAATTCTCGCCGTGTCCCCTCGCTGCCCCTTCCTTGCTAAAGGTGCCAGAGACACCTCAGACTGCCCTTCCACGGCAATTTCACTCGGGTTGCCACTGTTGCAATCCCATCCTTCTCTGCACTGGAACTCTGGGAGCTATGGAGGACAGAAACGGTAGAAAAATTGATGTATAAAGCAGTGGATAGTTTTTTGCTTTAGCTACCAGAACCAGCAAAACCATCTAGGTCAGTATCAGCAGAGAGTAAGAATGGATGGTTGGGAGGATGGTGGGATGATAACTGCACCAGCCTGAAGCGGCTTAATGGTTTTTAGCGAATTTACACTGTATAACGCTGAAAGCACCAAAAGGAATATGTCACATTTTATGCTTCTCTCCGCCACCCTACCTCTGGCGTTCCATCAGGCCTTGTACTGAGCCAATTCAACTCACTGGTTCAAATTTCAGTCTTTTTAAAAGAAAAAGATTTGTAGCAAAGAAAATTAATCTAGATAAGCACAACAAAGAAAAATACAATCTAGAGAAATTTTGGCTGCGGCTGTGCTGCAAAATTAAGCACTTTAATACTAACGCTATGTTTACAGGCTCATTTGAATAAAGGAGCTAGCAGGGACACCGACCTGGTGTAACCCTGAAGACACAAAAAGTATTTATATTCACAACTTATTTCTTAACTGTTAGGGACAGAAGGTAAGAAATGTGTTCTTTGCCTCCTTTCCAAAGTTAAGGAACAAGAGGCACCCTGATAGCTCCAGAAGTACAAGGAAAAGATGTTCAACCAGGCTTTAGAGCACAATCTTAGTAGAAGCAGCACATTTACATATACTGGCACCTCTCTTCTGCAAACTCCACAAAGTGGTATTTGACAATGATTTTTGCCCCCCCTACCTTTATTGCTGTGGTATTTGAGATGATGGGTGGCTAACATCAATGTTGACTTACAGTAGTACTTTGACAGAGAAAGAGAAGTCAGACACTAACAATACTATTAATATGGCTAGACAGAGGGACAGATGGAAGGGTCTGAGTGCAAACTGGTAAATCCTATTGCTCAGGGTTCCAGAGAGTTCATTTTCTACTAGAAAAGGTACACATATGAGGTTCTGTAAAAGCTACATGATCTGCATCCCTTTCAGGCATCAGGGTAGTCTTCCTGCTATAGTGGTTTTCCCTGCTCTACTACCTCTTTTTTTTTTTTTTTTTTTAACTTCCTCCTCGCCCCCATGTGGTTGTGGTACCAGGAGCTCCTTGACTAATAAGGAGAAAAAAAGTGTTTTAGAAAATGCACTTGGATATGTCATCTGTGCTACTGTTAGCCCATTTACGGTTTCTGAAAAAAAACCCAAAACAAAACAAAATTAAAAAAAAAAAAAACACAACAAAAAACAACCAACTCTGGTGCAATTGAAAAGTAAATGTATCAAATGTTACCTAAGTTGTAAAACACTCTTGGATAATAAGCTGCTTAACATAGGAGAAATGTACTAACTGGAGAACATAATGAAAGTTTGTGGACAGCGCTCCCAAGCCCTCAGCACAGGAGAATGAAAAGAGACACATTTCAACATTTCTGCTTGTTCTGGTTTTGAGACATTGCTGAAAGACTCTACATTAGCCAGAATAGATAAGTAAGAAAAAACATGTTCATAAGTGTGATTTGGAACTGTGTATCATTGTGGTGTCTTTTTTCTCACTTAGAACTTTGTGGTACACTTTCTAATTTCTTTGCTAAAATAACATGCACTCCTTTCACCCATTCACAAAGCAAGTTTAGTTAAAGCTGACACAATCAGGTTATATTTCCCCAGAGAGAAATTTACACATAGGCCCCTCCAGGGAACTTACATTCGCAGACATGTTGAGGGCAAAGTCGGCAATTCCTCTCCTCAAGCTACAAGGGCGATTAGAACAGTAGGAGGGCCAGGTACAGCATTGAGAAGTTTACCTAGTACCTGCAACACCTCACAGTTTCAAGCAACCTGCAGAATCACCCAGCAATGTAGTCAGACGGGTTTTTAATCTTTGCTTATCAGTCAACCTTGGCAGTCAGTCAGAAAGCCAATATTTGAAAAATAATGTTTGTTGTCTGCTTGCACTGGGGACAAAGAGAGGAGGTGGCAGTAAATTAAAAAAGGGTCAGTTGTTTGTGTGGTCAGAAGTCTCAGAAGAGGAGGTAAAATGTACAGGAAAAGCAACAGTTGTGGGTGGTGAAAGCAACAGTTGAGGGTGGTGAAAGTTTAGCTTGGAGAAGTTGACCAAAGTGGAGGATGAAATTGCACTGAATAGGAGGACACTCAGAAGCCAAGAACCAACCAAACCCAGAGTTCAATAAACATGTGTGCAGAGTCTGAAGAGTCTGCGGCAAAGTGAGCTGGTCTGAGGCTTGTGTAGGTCATCAGAAAAAGACATTCATTCTGCTCAGCCCTTCAATAAATGGTTTCTGTACTAAAATCTCCAACAAAGGATAGCTAATGGAGATAGCAGGGAAGGGTGCTGAAAAGCACTGACTTAACTTTCATAAGCAATACAAGCTCACCACCTGCAAACTGTTGCTGCAAACTGGTATTTTGGGTCAAACTTCCATAAAAGCTACAAGAAGACAATGCAAGCACTCTCCCTCCCTCTGTTAGTGTGTTACATTAGAAATGAGGTGAGTGAGAGTGCGCCCACAGACCTGTGTCTCAGATGGATATACCACATAACCAATACTGCATAACCCATGCTGAGAAACAAATAGTTAAGATATTTTGAAGCAAGGTTTAGGTATAGGAAATCACACCCACAAAGTTAATGAAAATTTCGTCTTAAATCCGTATTTGTCTCAGTTCTCTGACTGTTAAGGAAAGATAACCATAAAGATCTGAAAATAATCTGGCAGGGTTTGTGATTTTTTTTTTTTTTTAATTAAATTAGAGGCACCATAGAGACACATGTGTAGTGATGCACAATAAATTGTAATAATTAATAAAGTAGAAGCATTCAGTAAAAAATTGGATGAAATATGGTAGCTAAACCCTGGTGAGGTCCTCTGAACCCTGTAGTGGACGTAGGGAAACTCTGGAAAAAGTGTCGGTGATCACATGGTTACTTTATGTATAGAGAGCTGTGGTAAGCCTGCACAGAAAAATCTGCATTAGGCTTTTCCTGACATTACAGTACTTAAACAATTTTCTGATTTAAGACTTTGCAGATAATTTAATGGCAATAACATGAACATTGTTATACATACAGGACAAGCATGCAATAAAGCACAGTGCATGCTATTAGGGCATGGCTTCAGAGTTTACTTAGGGCAACACTGAACTCAAACAGGCTTAGCCAGCTGATTCATGTAATACATTTGCACATCCTTTGGGCATGATCATCCACTCAAACTCCAAGTTAAGCAGATTGTTGGAGGAAGAATGCACCTGTGCTAAAGCCAGAGACTAACCTTTAACTCTGGATGGATGATAGGAATGAGCCACAGCTCAGGGTGAAAAGACATACTAATTTGCATTAACTGGAAAGGAAAAGTAGACCAAAAAAATAAGGGTACAGAAGGGAAAAAATGAATAGAGGACAATAGAAGGGAAATAATCCTGTTACATACTGGTTTCTTTTGGTTCCTTTCAGAATGCAGCCCTCAGTAGGCAGAATTATGCAGCCTGCAAGTCTGCATGTGGTCTAAGGGTGCAATTTCTCTCCCAGCCCAGGTGTGTCCTGTAGCCTGTGACTTTAGATGTTAGTTCTGGTATTTCATGATCATCTACAGATAGAGACAGAGTAGCCTGGCATGCTTACGAGTGACACAGATTTGAAGAAGGCATAAAGAGTCTATGTTACTAGTTGTAATGCAGAGTCTGATGCAGAGGAGTTGCTAGGAAGGGTCAGCGCAGCCAAGGAACTTTCCAGGATTACATCATAGCCAATAAATTATATTTAGTTGGCAAGAACATTGAGCACACCATAAAATTCTAAGGTACAGTTACAGCTAGCGTTACCTGTGTAAAATCGTATGGTTGAATAAATGCCTCAGTTATAGTGTCACTATTCAAGTTAGAATTGGATGTAAATCATTAGAAATGCATGTAAATCATCTAAGGATGCCAGGGAGTGATGGCTTCATTATGTAAGCCTGATTATTTTGTATAACAATGCAGGCCTTACTAGCAACTATGCCCTTGTAGAGAAAGGGAGCATCCTGCTGAGAAAGCACTGAAAGCTGAGTAATTGCCAAAGAAACATAGTCAGCAAAAATCTATGGTAACCGGGGAAAAGTAAAGGCAGTAGGGGGCGATCGCAACCATGGACTCAATTTAAGACCAAAACTACTTGCCCCGCCTCACCCTTTGACTTTGTGCAGTGTAATTAAAAGACATTGTAACTTTAAATCGAGATGAAGCATGTTGTTAACCTGTGAGGGACAAAGTGGTAAGAAACTAACCAGTGGTCGATACAGTAAATGTGTATTTGTGTAGCCTGAAGTGTATGAATACATTGAAGTACTTTTGTGCAGTGTGCTAGCTTTGTGGAATTACCACATAGCACCCCACTTTGCATAAACATGGAATAAATAAAATTAATTTGCTCTGTGTGTATCTTGGTGTATTGCACACTGGGTAAACAACCCTGCTTGTGGGACAACAGTTTTCTGGCGACCCAGATGGGACTGCGCTGATGGCCTTGCCAGGATCATTTTGCCATACCCGACAAGGAGAAACGGTCAGACTGGACTCCAGTGTGCAACAACCTGTTGATGGGGCACTCCGTCAACTTCTCCCTCCTGCAGCTGTGTGGTAAGCGACACAATGGTGCAGCACCATTTGAAAGAGGTATTTTAAGGGGAAAAGGGAGGAAGAGCAGGACCTCTCAAGGAAGCACCTGCAGTTGCTCTTTGCATAAGCTCTGAATAAGGGATACGCAGCAGTAGCATAGTTTTGTTTCTACACGTTGTGTTTAGTAACATGGGACAAAAATCCCTTATTTTGTATTTGGGCCTTTGGTATATGAAACATGGTCTGAAAATTCTTTTGGGTACTGAAATGGATTCCACTACTTCCAAGGAGGCTCCTCTTTGTTCTCCCTTAGGAAGCATCCTAAAGAATTGGAGAAAATTCAGAGGGGACCCCATGACTAAGGATAAATTAATGCGGTATTGTAATCAGTGGTAGCCATAGTACAAATTAGACAATCAAGAAAAATGGCCAGAAGGATCCTTGAATTACAATACTGGTTTGCAGTTATCTTTATTTTGTAAATGAGTAGAGAAATGAGATTAAGTTCCTTATGTAGATTTATTTTTTGCCTTGCAAAATGACTGGGAAATGAGAAAGAAATATGAGTTGGTTGGTTCACAACATCAAGTAGGAGTACATTTGTTAGATGATAAAGATTCTGTTCTAGAAAAAGAGGCTAAACCCAATAGTAAAGTGAAAATTAAAAATTCTTGTGCTGGATGTCAAACTGGTAAAGACTGCTTGGGGGAGGTGGAAGAGGATGTGTAATTGTTAGTATGCCCCTTCAAAGTTACCCAAATTGGAATTTTCCGGTACCAAGGATGAAAAGGATGTCTAGAAGAACTCAGTGGCAGAGACCTGTGGTACAGGCTCCTTTGCACAAGCTGCAGGGCCAAATGGGATTTGAGTGTATGTGCATGTACCTTTTACTACCTCTGATTTATGAAATTGGAAACAGATGATGGGTCCTTATCATAATAATGCTGAAGGTATGCACAGGTTAGTTAAAATTGTTATGCTGAGTCATAATTCAAATTGGGGAGATATGTAAGCTTTGTTAGAATCTCTTTTTGCTAGTTAGGAAAGGAGAAATATTTTGGATAAGGTTAGGGAAGAAGGGGAACAACAAAAGGGAGTAAGGGATTTGACTCAAATCCTGCCAAAGGATGATCCTCAGTGGGACCCAAATACTAGCGGGATCTAGAAAGGCTAAAGTAGTATCAGTAATTGATATCATATGGAAATCAACAAATATCTAAACTGTATGAAATCAGGCAAGGACATGAAGGGTATGAAAACTCCTGGTTTTTATGAAAGACTGTGCAAGACTGCTAGAAAATGCATAGATTTAGGTCCAGAGCATGACAGTAATCATAAGATGCTTAGTATGTTTGTCAAGCAGTTGACTTCAGATTATTAGACAGAAACTGCAAAAGTGGATGGGGTTGGTATGATGTCTATCTCAAAACAAATGGAAATTGCTTACAAAGTTTATAATGATAGGGAACAGAGGAAAAGAAACAGCAGAGTAGGATGAAGCTGCAAGCTTCTCTGTTCACAGCAGCAATAACCAAAAGTAAGGAAAGAGGTCATAGAGAAATGAAAATTTGGAGAAGAAAGAATGGTAGAGAAAATGTGAGAAGAGGAACATCCAGATCATCTTTGGGGTCAAACCAATGTGCATATTGTAAAAAACCAACAACGCTGGAAAAATGAGCCTCAACAATAAAAGGAGGAACTGAGAAAGTGAGAATGAGGAAGGAGAACTGCTAATGTTAGAAAATCTGGATTGAAGGGGACCAGAGGAAATAATGAATGCTTCCATTCTATTATTATGATTATTATTAAAATTATCATGATTATATTATAATAAGAAATAATTAACTGGTTTTAGTTAGGTTGGGGAATGGAACTATAGAGTTTTTTTAAATAGATAGTGGGGCAACGCACTCTGTTGTAACTAGTTGCAAAGGCCAGTTAAGTAAAAATAAGATCCTTGTTATTGGTGCACAGGAAAGAAAACATTGAGGCTATTTTTTAAGCCAGTGTATGATTGGAAATAGAGTTCCTCTATATGCCAGAATGCTCCTTGCTCTTACTATGACAAGAGCCCGAGAATTCTGTGCAGCTATGTATTCCTCCTGAAACATCATGGAAAGCACAAATCTGTCTTTTGCTGGACAAGACTTCTGGGAAAGTTGAGAGTAATGCTCCAGGTGAAATACTGGGTGCAGTAATCCCTTTGGTGTGGTAAAACAAAAAATGTGATTCCTATTAAGACTGAATTATAAGGAAGGAAGCAAAATCCTATAAAATCAGAAGCCACAATGGGCTTAGAACCTTTGATTAATACTTTTATACAGTATGGATAGTGTGGCAATACCAATCAGAATACAATGCTCTTATTTTACCAGTTAAGATACCTCAGACTCAAGAATACCAGTTGGTACAAGATTCATACCAAACCCTTATGCTTTATTGTCAGCAATACCTGAAGATAGTGTATTACAGTGTTAGACCTAAAAGATGCCTTCTTTTGCATCCCCTTGGATCAAGAAAGCCAGAAGATACTTGCTTTTGAGTGGAGAATCCTACCACATGGAGGAAAATACAACTTTGCTGGACTGTGCTGCCATGAGTATTCAAAAACAACCTGACATTACCAAGGAACTGGAAAACTGGCAATGTACTTTAGTCAATAAACTGTTACATGGACTGGGATTTTCCTTGACTAGCTGGTTGGAAGGATTGCTCTTAAGTATCATAGTAATTGCTGTGATTCTAATTATTCTGTGTACTGTTTTAAACTGTATGAGACGACTTTTGATCCGAGCCATAACTGGTTGGTATGTGATGGTACTGAGAAATTATAATGAGCCCTCCTGAGTCTTTTTGAAAGAAAAGCCATATAGTCTCAAAGGGGGGGAAACGTTATCTGTGTAAAACTGTATGTTTTCAGTGCCTCGGTTTTAGTGACGCTATTCAAGTTAGAGTGGACGTACTGCATTTAAATCTTCTAAAGAGGCCAGGGAGTGCTGGCTTTACTACGTAAGGCTCATTACTTTGTATGAACAACGCAGGCTTCACTAACAACTATGCCCTTAGAGAGGAACTAAGTAACAAGAAAAGGGCACACATCCTGCAGAGAAAGTGCTGAAAGTTGGGTAATTGCCAAAGCAGCAGAAAGTCTGCAAAAATCTATGGTAGCGCGGGAAAAGAAAGACGCTAGAGAGATCGCAACCACCAACTCAATTTAAGACCTAAAAGACGTGTCGTCATTGTCCTCGTCGTGTCCGTCCGTCCCGTCCCCCCCCCGAGTTTTGGCAGAATAATAAAACGACACTAACTTTGCATCGAGACGGGACACGTTGTTAACCAGCGAGGGACAAAGTGGTAAGAAACTAACCAGTGGTCACTACAGTACATAGGTCCCCATGTCCGAGGCTCCCCAGAAACAAGGCGGGGGAGCCTTGCCCAGGCCAGGCGGCGCACCCCGACCTCCATTTCGCGGCGCAGGCAGGCGCAGCTCCCAGGGCCGGCAGAAGATGGCTTCCCGCTGCTTGCCCCCGCCCCGCCGCCTCACGGCGGCCGGATGCGGCGGGGCTGGGGGC